GCTTCTCCTGCCCCTGCAGACACGGGCGGAGCAGAGAAGCTGGAAAGTCCTCAACTGTCCTGGCAGCAGCTCTGCCCATCGGTGTGTGATCAGCTTCTCCTCAGCACAAATCCCAACAGCCTCGCACCTGCTGCCTTGACGAGAGTTAACTCCACTTGACGAGAGTTAACTCCATCCCAGCCGACACCAGGGCACCGTTCCGTGCCCAGCTGGCACTTCAGGTTTTATAAAAGTTTCTCATTAGTTGCTGCCTGGTTTGTCGCCGTGTCTGCGAGCGGGACAGCTTCCTCACTCCAAAGGAGGAGCGTGTGAGTGAGATCGTGGATCGGCTCAAAGCCCAAGGAATTTGGGCAGAATCTCTTCCCCTGCATTCTCCACGTCCCCCAGGGTTTTCTGCCTCCTGCGGCTTCTAATCCGGGGTTTGCATTGTGTCCTGGACTGACAAATGCTGACACACAAAGAGGAAAGAGAATTTGGGTTCACTCAAATGGCTCAATTCACTCCTTAGCAAGATTGGTACCAAAATGCAACTGTTCTGTGACCAGCATGGAACTCTTGTGTGTCTTCCATCTGCAGGTCTCAGCTGTGTGACTTTCCGGTTTCATTTAAGAAAAAAAGAATGGGGTTTTAGTGGAAGGGGAAAGCTGAAAATCTGGGCTTCAAAACGCAAGTGTTGAATGGTCCAGCAAAAAAATCCAATATTTTTCCTTTTTTTAAATTCCATAGTTTCCAAGAAAATGAGGTTTAGAGAACAGAAGCCTGGTTTTGTATTTTTTAGTAGTGCTTTGGGTATTTCTAGGCGTCATGCTGAGTTGCACGTTGCCTTCTCCCATGGGTGGGTGAGGCTTTTGGATCCAGTGTGCTTCCTCCCACCCCATCTCCTACCCATGGGATGGCGTACGGTCCGTGCCTAGCACTTCACACCGGGAATGCTGTGATTGTCATTTCAGGCTTCTTCCCCAGCATATAGCAGCTCCAACCTGTATTCCCCGGATTCTTCAGCCAACTCTGGTCCCATTATCTCCGACGTGACCGAGCTCGCCCAGTCCAGCCCGTCAGCATCTCCCAGCGGCAGTCTTGATGAAAGGTACAGTGTTGCTCCCATAAAATCTGAAGCTATCTACGTAGGGAGAATGTTTCCTGATGAGCTGAGTAGTCAAACACCATTAGAACGCGCCTCTTCGGTTAAGAATCCATCGAGAGCAACAGCCAGAAAATGGTGCAGCCCTTGGTTCAGGGGACATTAAGGGTGCTGGAGCTCCATCCTCACCTTACCAGGACTTTACAGAAAGCTGGACCTGTCCCTCTGGGATGGCCTCATTCAGGGCTCCGCCATCTCAGCAGATTTTTAGTTGGTTTGTTGGTTTTGTTCAGCTTTAATTCTCTTTTCCAAACCACACTCACTCCTCTGCCTGCCCCATCTAGTCAGGGATGGGGGATCCCAGTTTGATTTTCCCTTCTCCATCAACCAGTCTGCTCCGTCTGGTGAAATCACCGACATCCTGGGCGCAGGGCGAGCTTTCCCTGCCCTTCTGAACTTCTCTGCAGAGGAGGAGCTGCAGAAGGCAGCTTCATTCCTCTGTAACTTGGGAAAAACAATGAGAGCTCTGTCCCAAACAGCCCGGGGGAATCTGTGGCACGTACAGGTCAGCCAGCTCCCAGCTGCGGTTTTCAACTCCTCCAGATTTGCAGGTGCCACAGGTAATTCCCAGCCCTGTCTGCCTCTGCCGTTCTGCATCAGCAAAAGCCTCTCGCTGCCTCCCCAGAAAGAAGGTCCCATCCTTCCTGAGCACCTTGTGGGTTCCTGCCTTCTTTCTTCTCCCTCTTTGAAGGGTTATTCCTGGCACCGGTGCATCCCCTGTGGTGCTGAATCACCTACAAATGCCGTTTATTGCCTTTTGTACCCTCTGCCAGGAGCGCTAGCTCTTAAATACAGACCATATGTGTGCTTAACGGCCCTTTTCTCTGTCCCTTTGTAGCTGCTGTCCCTTCGAGTGGGACTCATTCTGCCTCCGACACCCCAAAATTGTCACGTCTCGGGGGTAAAATTAAGGCTGACCAAAAAAGCCACCTTCCCATAAAACCAATTCATGGTAAAATATTGTCAGAAAAGATCAATCCCCTGCTTAGTCTGCAAAGAGGAGTCGCTCCGCTGACCTCCTGGGAGCAGTTAAAACCCCCCGGCCTCTGCCGTGGTGACAATTGTGGTCTCCGTGGTGACTTTAAAGTGGGGTTTATACACTCTGCTGCTTTTTGCACTATTCAGTCAATGTCCACATCAAAAGCTGTGTTGTTTTGACACTCCTGTTAAAATCCTTCCAGAAACATGACCTGTGGACCTGGACCAAGGTCCTGGACCAAGCAGGCTCCCCAACCACCGCCTTTAGCCACAAGATATACGCTGAGATTGCAGCCACAGCAAGAGGCTGATGTGTCAGGGGAGCTGATTAGGATGGGAATCAGAGAAGAAATATTTAGGTACTTGTTCAGTCTTGTCTAGCTAACTCTGGAGGCTTTGCACGTGAAAAGGCACCAGCAACTGGGAGGATTTTTTTGCCCTATTGTGTGGAAGCTGCTCTTAGAAATGCAAGACTGTGTCCGTGTGAGATTTTTACCCATTTTCTTTCTCTTTCTCTCAGGAGTAGCCCTGTGGTCCGGATCAAAGAAGAACCCCCCAGTCCCACCCGCAGCCCCCAGATCGAGGAGGCCAGCCCGGGGAACCCTCCTGCTGTCGAAACTCTTCTGTCTCCCTCCACATTCATCGACTCCATCCTGCAGGAGAACGAACCCAGCACCACGACCGCTGCAGCTGGCGACAGCAGCACCCCGCAGCCTCAGCCCCAGGAAAAGTGCCTCAGCGTCGCCTGCCTCGACAAGTAAGTGCCAAGCCGGCACCGGCCCAGCTCGGCTCTCGTCAGCCATCCCACTGCTCCGTACTGGTCAGCGTGCAGAGCTGCAGCCTGGGCTTCCAGCCAGCAAATGTGGTCATTTTCCTGCGGAGCTCGCCCGTGGCTCCGACCGCAGCTCCCCCTGCAAGCGCTGGGGTCAGTATTTTGCTGCCCCGTTCCTGTTCTGCTTTTGGAGCGATGAGTGTATCCCACTGCCTGACCCCATGCGTAGAATTAAACCTCCTGCCCAGGGGATCCAGCGCTGCGAGGGGTTGTGTGGGATGCCAAAATAAGAACGGATAAAAATTCCTCTGCTAAATAAGGGCTGTTGCGAACTGCTGCTCCCCTGGCATGGGCATGAGTCAGGGCAGGATCAACTCTTTCATCTCAGGCCCGACACATCCTCATGGTATAAAAGCTTCTGCATTTTGCAGCCCACAAGCAGCTGACAGGCACATGGAGCAGCAAGTATTGCTTGCTGGGAGCTTGAATCCCAGCAGGTTTAGCTGGAGGTGAGGCTTGGAACCGCTGCGGGCAGCACTGCAGCACTGCCCCAGTGCTGTCCTCTGCTTTTCCTTCTCCCAGCTGCCCTCCAAATTAAAAAGAGGAAAATTTGCGTTAAACTGTCGTTTGCCCGCCTAGTTCTAGTGGTGAATGCGTCCTCCGGCTCAGCCTCACTACTTGCTAGGACTCAGCTTGCGCCAAACTTAGGCTGGACTTGGTGTGGGACAGGCTGGAAGTTGAGGGGTGGCTTTTTTTTGGGGATCACGCTTGGAGTCTGTCATCTTTTATCACCACACGGTGCTCATGGGTGCAACTGCAAGTGTTGGGATGAAAAATTAGAAAATTGTTTGCATCAAACTGCCAAAAACTTGTGCCTTGGCCATAGCGAGACATCAGCCCCTGCTCAGATCTTGGCCAAACAGCATCAGAATTAAGGTCTTCCGTCTGAGCGCCAGAACAGAATTTCTGTCCTTAAAGTGTAAAAGCAATTTGGAGAGGATACAATTATTTTCAGGGTCCTGGAAGGCGTCAGATCACTGCAGAGGGCTGACGCACCCAAGGCGATGATCGTGTGACAAGTGCTTCTCGTTAATTCTACGTTAGCTGACACTTTGCAGAGCTGTAGGGTCACAGCTCTGGGTGGAGAAGGGACAAAACCCCTGGCAGAAGCTCTCTTCCTTTATTAAGCCGAGGGCTGTCCCTCCACGGCAGGACAGTGCGATGCAGCAGGATTTGCTGCGTTTGCGCCTCCACGTTGTGCAGAGTCAGGAGACACCTGCGCTCCTTCCTCTTGGCCCTGCCGGGGACGTTTGTCTGTAGCTTCACCTATTTCTAGACTGTCCAGGGCTCTGCAACCCAGCTCACCCATTCCACCTGTCCTTAAAAAGAGATAGATTTTATCCTACAGCTCATCAAAACTTGAAACTGGCCATTTGAAAGGTAATAAAAATGAAAAAAAAAGTACTGCTGGGAGCGTCTCTGAATTAAGGGCTCTCACTGTGCAGAAGCAAAGGACACAGAAAACATTTGCCCTCTGCCCCTGCGGAGACCGAGCTCTGTGCTTTGTCTTAGAAAGCTGCTTAGAACCACTTAAAATAAAGAGTTTGTGCTTCCTCTTCTTTCGGTGCTCTCTTCCTCCCGCATTTTGCAAGCACCATCCATCTGCAGTTCCTTTGAAGGGCATTCCAGAAGGAAGGAATCCGGCCAGCCAAGACTCCCCGCCCTGCCGTGTCCATCCCAGCTCCCAGCCTGTCTGACACTGGAATTTGTAAAAGAAAAGTTGGAGCATCTGGTGCTCGACACCCTGGGCGTGGAGTGTGACCACTGAACAGAAAATCTGTCCCTGCCCCGGGGAATCGGAAGGCAAAGTGTAAGTAATGAAAGGGATCCGCAGCCTCCACTCTCCTCTGGGTTTGGAGGGTGCTGGCATTGTGCTCAGCATCTCTGCGGCAGCGGTGGGGTTACTGGACTCCACAGATCCTGGTATGTTAGATATAGAAACTCAGAGAAGGATGTTGGTATTCCCTGCGTGCCGGGACCTCGGCTCCTTCCCAATGTCACTGGAGCTGTCCCCCAACTGCTTGAGCAGAGCAGAGGTGGAAGGCTCCAGGGAGACCTTATTGCAGCCTTCAAGTGCTTAAAATACTAAAAGAAAAAGGAAAAGGAAAAGGAAAAGGAAAAGGAAAAGAGAAGACTATTCTTCATATAAGAATAAGAAAGTTGGGGACAGATTTTTTAGCAGTGCCTGTAGTGATAGGACAAGGGGTGATGGTTTTAAACTAAAAGAGGGCAGACTCAGAGTAGACAGAAGGAAGAAATTTTTTAAATTATGGTGATGAAACACTGGCGCAGGTTGCCCAGAGAAGCTGAGGATGCCCCATCCCTGGAAACATTCAAGGTCAGGTTGGATGAGGCTTTGAGCAACCTGCTCTAGGTGAAGATCATCGAATCACAGAATGGTTTGGATGGGAAGGGACCTTAAAGCCCATTGAGTGCCACCCCCTACCATGGGCAGGGACACCTCCCACTAGCCCAGGTTGCCCAAAGCCTCATGCAGCCTGCCCTTGAACCCCTCCAGGGATGGGGCATCCACAGCTGCTCTGGGCAACCTGGGCCAGGGTCTCACTGCCTGCCCAGGGAAGACTTTCTTCCCAATATCTCATCTAAATCTCCCCTCTTTCAGCTTAAACCCCTTTCCCCTCATCCTTTCGATATCCCTGCCCATAGCAGGGGGGTTGGAACTAGATGACCTCGAAAGGTCCCTTCCCACCCAAACCGTTCCGTGGTGGGACCATTCCCAGCCCGCCAGCAGCCATAGGTGCCCAGTGGGAGGGGGAGCGACCAGAGCAGGAGTTGCCCCGAGACACCGAACCAAGGACGGGACACAGCAGCGCCCTTTCTCTGAGCTTTCTATTAAATTCCCAGGATTTTGCTCATTTTATTGAGGTGCAGGTAATAAGGGAGGTGTTTACTGATGGGTATGGCGTGGCAGTGGTGCCCAGATGCCGCTCGCTTGAGCCAGGCAGGCGTTGACAGCCGCCAAAGGCTCTCGGCGATCCCTGCTTTTCATCACCTGGAGCATATTGCAGTTGTTTTTGGATTTATTGGAGGAGAGCAGCCCGTCAGAGGGCAGGTCACGGTGCACGGTGGCTCTTTGTGCACTGCACGGGCTGTTATTTCATCCACAAGGCAGCCTTTGTCCCGGGGAATTTCATCTGAACCGAGAATTACCTTCGTGTGACCAACAGCATCTTAGCGGCAGTGACAGTGCTGAGGTTCAGGCAAGAAAAGGGAATGTTTGTGTGGAAACGCGTGACACTGGTGCCCAAATATTATCTAAATATAGAATATACCTAAATATTATCCACCATCCATCCACCCAGGGACCCTCATGAGCCCCTTCCCAAGCGCCAAAGCCCACTGCATGCTGCAAACCATCAACCCCACGTTATTAACACACCACCTGCATCCCTAGAGCAGAGGTTTAAACAAAGCATCGTGTGCCAGGTTCCTCCCTGAGCTTTGTCACCCCCTTCGAGGTGACAGCAACCATGGTCCCTGTGTCAGTGCCACCCTGAAGAATTTAATCCAGCAGACCCACGTCAGTTTGTCTAGCTGAGAAACTCCTGAGCTTGGCTGTGCTGTACCAAACCCGCACTTGGCTTGCTTTTGCAGAACTGTGTGTTTTCATGTTTGTTTTTTGTTGCTAATAACAATTCCTCCAGCCTGAAGCTGCCGCAGCCCGGCCGATCTGCCATCCTTGCCTTCGAATGTAACAAAACATTTCATTCCTGAAAGTGCCTGACTGTGAGTCTTTCGAATCTCGTCTCCTCTTCTGTTTGTATTTTTCAGTTTGACTCGCACTTCGCAGATGTCCGAGGTCCCTCGTCTTTGCCCCAATTCCTCCTCTTCCTCACTCCATTGCAGATCACAGCAAGGGTTAGCATTGCCGTAGCCACTGTCCCCAAGCACTGCAATTCCAGGCAGGAGAGCAGCAGAAGCACTGCAGGCAGCTTCCCTGGCGTTAGAGGTGGTATAGCCAAAAAAAACAAACAAAAAAAAAAGCCAAAAAAACTCCCTTTAAAAATTGGCACCAAGTGGCAGGCTTCTTGGCCAGCTCAGCTCAAAATACGGAGCGGCCAGCGGAGGGTAAAACACTTCTCATCCCTTTAGGTGGTCCTGGCAGGGAGCGGAGGGAGGGCTGCTCCGCTGCTCTCCGTGTTGTACCTGCTTTTGATGAATGGAAACTCCAGCCCTGAGAGCTGCCGGTTTGGTACCTTTTGCCAGCAGAAAATTCACACCCCTGGGGAACAAAGCATTGGAAGGCGATGGGAGCTGGGGGTTGGGATGGCTTTTCTGATTTTTATTTTGATGCTAATGACAGAAGAATGAAACTTCCCACTGCACACTGAGGTGCTGCTCTCATCAAGCTGCTTCTCCAGAATAAAAAACATCTCAGATTCAGGACAAAATCCATCTTGGCCAGTATCCTGTCTCCCACAGTGGCCAGCTGAGGAAAAACCATCTGAAATATTGCCCTTAAATATTTTCAGATAATGGATGGAATAATGCAAAGACAAATGCAGTCTGTCTGGAGCTAAAATGCATTTCTAAATTAGTGTTTTGCCTCCTCCTCAAGGCTTATGTTCGCTGCAGGAATCGTTGCTTGCTGCTCCGGTTATTTGCAGGCTGGTGGGACCTGGGCACTGCCGTCCTGCACCCTGAGCCCATTTCCCAGGTACAAACAGCAAAACGATGGCCTGGAGAGAGCGCAGCGGCCAAGGGATGGCTTTTTCCCCACGGAAATGGGATAATCATCGCAAAGCTGCTCCGTCTGCTTGCTTTTAGAAAACGGAAAGAAATGCAGGGAAGAAAACCAGCTCTATACATCTCCCATGCTTCAAATTTTGAAGACTGGAGATAGCTCCTCACCTAGAAGAAGGGCCTGGTGGCCAGTCGGTTGTTTTTGGGAAACAGCCAGCAGCCTGTGCGTGGTCGGGGAAAGGATCGGAAGGGACAGGAGCCAGGCTGCTGCTGCGGGGAGCTGCTCTGTGCTAAAGCGCTGCTGGAGATCCGAGAAGCGTGTGCTGGGGCTCAGGAGCTCCACATACTGCCTGGGCAGAAGTTCTTGCCGTTCAGCGGCATCACACGGGGCTGGCAAATGCTTTCTCATCAGCATCTGTATCAAAATGTTCGTTTTCCCCAGTAAAAAGCTGCTGATCCCAGCAGCTCCACTGGTTCCCAGTGGAGAGAGCGGCAGGGCACGTGCTTTCTGCTGTCTCCATCCATCGTAACCAGGATCTCAGAGTCACGGCTTCACTGGCAGCGGGTTCGGCACCGCCTGCCCTGGCTCGTTCATCCATGCTTTCTCATCAGCATCTGTATCAAAATGTTCGTTTTCCCCAGTAAAAAGCTGCTGATCCCAGCAGCTCCACTGGTTCCCAGTGGAGAGAGCGGCAGGGCACGTGCTTTCTGCGGTCTCCATCCATCGTAACCAGGATCTCAGAGTCACGGCTTCACTGGCAGCGGGTTCGGCACCGCCTGCCCTGGCTCGTTCATCCACAGCATCGGCGTTAAACATGTTGTTGTGCCGGGGAAAAGAGGCAGGGGACCCCCAGAGAGCGGATCCGATGAGTAAGGAGGTGTGATTTTCACATCGCTGCTTCTCAGCCCGTAAACCAGCCCACACAGCACGAGCCCACCCCGGCGGGTGCTTCTCGTCACCTCATCAGAGGGAAACGCCGATGGCAAGGGTCTCCCCAGGAGCCAGGCACGCCGTGGAGCTGGAGGTCATTATTCTTGGGAGTCATTGGCAGCCAGAAAGTGGAGCCAGACCTGGGGAGCACCATGAGGATACACCAAGTGTGGGGATGGGGACAGGGAAAGCAGAGGCAGGGCATGTAGTGGGGACAGAGTAATTCCTTCTCTCCAGAATCCTGCCAGTCCCCTTTCCCTGGATGTCCACGTACCTGGGGACAGGCAAAGCTCTTCTGCGTGAGCGTCACCAATCCTGTGTCGTCAATCCCGCGTCCATCACTTTTTCCAGGGATTCTGCCGTTAGTTTGCAGCGCCTGATGCAGGTTACGTGGGACACAGCGACGTGGTGGAACCCTTGTCTCGTAGCTCCCTGTCTCTTTCCCCAGTTGATGCAGCTCGGTGCAGTCATGAAATTCCCCATCCTGAAATGGGACCGGGGCCAGAGGAGGCCACAGAGATGGTGCGAGGCTGGAGCAGCTCCTGTGCGAGGACAGGCTGAGAGAGTTGGGGGTGTGCAGCCGGGAGAAGAGAAGGCTCCGGGGAGACCTTCTGGCAGAACTTCTGGGGGGCAGAACTCCAGGAAAGATGGGGAAACCCTGGCCCAGGTTGCCCAGAGCAGTTGTGGATGCCCCATCCCTGGAGGGGTTCAAGGCCAGGCTGGATGAGGCTTTGGGCAACCTGGGCTAGTGGGAGGTGTCCCTGCCCATGGCAGGGGGTGGCACTGGATGGGCTTTAAGGTCCCTTCCACCCCAAACCATCCTGGGATTCTACAATTCGATGATTCTTGGTGCTGGAGATGTCTCCTCACCTTCAGAACCTGCCTGGCTCGGGGGAGTGGGTCACTGGGCTCACGCTACTCCTTGAGAGCTGTCGGACTTTGCGGACCCACACCCAGACCTCACAGAACCCCCTGCACCTCAGTGCCTTGTGCACCAGTCTTTTCTCTCTCCTGGAGACACTGGTTCAACAACATGCTCAGAAATTTAAGGAAAACTGTTTTACTCCAGAGCATTGTGCTCCCTTTGTCTTCCCTGCTCTGGGAGCGTTTTTTGGTGGCAAACCCAGCCTGGACGTGGCACCACACAGCCGAGTGGGACCTTTGGGGATGGTGGGACCTGCTGGCAGTGCTGGGAACCAGACGGCAGTGACCGATTCCCAGTTAAACACCAAGAACAATGGCTCTGGGGCCTCTTCTTTCCTTCTGCATAAAATGGGAGACCTGCTGTGAGGTCTGGAGTTTGTTAGTGGTCTCACCCCAGTGTCACTTTTTGCGTGATCTTGGTCATCACCCTGCTTGGGCTCCGTCCCCTTGCACAAAGGACAAGCTCTGTCCCCTCTGTCCCCAAGGACAGGCTTGTCACCAGTGGGGTTTGTAGTGACACCGTGGCTGGGACCAGTCTGACTGTGCTGCTGGACGTTCCCAGTTGTAGAATTGGAGAAAGTCTCTGAAATCTGTAAGAGAATTTCAGCGAGGACTCAGGAAATCATTTAAAAAGCTCAAAAGTGGAGAAGTCATTTATTTGCAAGGGTCTGAGTTCTGAAAAAAAGAGAGTTACAGATCCCTGCAGCTCCCGCATGCACACACGGCAGTGGTGAGGCAGGAACACGCTCGCGGGCTGTGTCTGCTGCTGGCTTTCCTGTGGCCCCAGCGCCACGTTCCCAGCGCAAGGATGCCTGCATTCCCAGTGCGAGGATACCTGCATTCCCAGCACGAGGATGCCTGCATTCGCAGCATGAGGATACCTGGATTTCTGTCAGGACGCTGGTTCCTGCTGCTGGGCTTTTGGAGCTGCGATACGACCTGGCAGCTGCTTCTCAGTTTCTGCAGCAATGACAAAATCGACGTGATTGTGTAAATCCCTGTGGTGCGGCTGTAGGATGAGGGGATGGGAAGCCGGGGGGGTTCTTGCAGGGTGCACCATCCCGTTGGCGACGGAGCCAGATGGGGACCTGGAGCTGCCTGCACAGACCTGGGGATGGTGGGTCTTCCAAAGGGATCATCATAGAGACGCTCGCCTGACCGATGCTGGCGGAGGGACAGACTCCACAGCAGGTACAGACCCTCCGAGAAGAGAATTGGCTTCCTGGCGTTGTTCTAATCCACATGAGACTGGAAACTGCAGCTCCACGGCTTGCCTTGTCCTTCTCCAGCATCTTCCTCTTTGGCTGCTGAGTCTCCTGCACCACTGGTCCCTCCAGAGCACCTCCAGTAGCCAAAAAAAACCTTTCTAGGGTGGGGAACATGGTGGATGATACACGGGGCCATGCCAGGACTGATGACTGTGCCAGAAACCTGCTGCTGCTCTTGTAGCCAAATTTGGGGGATTTTCAGCAGTACCATGGGTCAGACCCCGGGCCACTAACAAAACATGAATGTTTGACCATTGGACTTGATGATCCTTGAGGCTTTTCCAACTTTTATGATTCTATGTTCCCAGAAGTGCTCAGCAGGAGCCTTGGTGGCTTTGTGGTGGCACCAGGAGGTTGATGTCATCCGCTTTTCTCCTCTTATTCCGGAGCATCATGGACAGAAGCGCCATGAGCGCCATGGAACCAGAGCACAATAGGATGTGGGGCCAGTTGGATGAGGCTTTGGGCAACCTGGGATAGTGGGAGGTGTCCCTGCCCGTGGCAGGGGTGGGACTGGATGGGCTTTAAGGTCCCTTCCAACCCAAACCATCCTGGGATTCTATGATCCTTTGAATTCCACCGTTAGTCCTCATCCCGGACGTGCTGCCGGGATCCGAGCGGGGACGTGCGCAGGTCAGGGTGCAGTGGGAAGGTTTGTTGCCCCAGGTACTTGAAAGCAGCTTTTTAGTCTCTCTTGTTCCTAAAAACTCCATCTCCCGATTAACAAATCCTGTTTTCCCCATCGCCCGTCCAGATGCAAAGAGTTTTTCTGGCCAGCAGTAGTCGTTTTGAATTTTTTTTCCCCAAAACAGAGGGAAGAAGTTTTGCAACCCCTTTCTCTGTCATGTATCGCAACTGGGATACACCGAGAGGAGACGGTCCTTGCTTTTGGACCGAAGGAAGGGTCCAAAGCTACACTGTGGTGGTCAGTATTTCCAAGCCCCCTCACTGCAGAGCTGAAAAGCCTTGCAGAAATCCTGGGTTTTGTAAAAAATTCCCCATTTTCCGTTCATTCGGCTTGCTCCCCCTGGACCTCTCGGGAGGAAGAGCCCAAGCAGTGTCTCCAGGCTCCCCTCTACTCTGCCCTGGTGAGACCGCATCTGGAATATTGTGTCCAGTTCTGGGCCCCTCAGTTCAAGAGGGACAGGGAACTGCTGGAGAGAGTCCAGCGCAGAGCCACAAAGATGATGAAGGGAATGGAGCATCTCCCTTATGAGGAAAGGCTGAGGGAGCTGGGTCTCTTTAGCCTGGAAAAGAGGAGACTGAGGGGTGACCTAATTAATGTTTATAAATGGATCCCGTCCCCGCTCCCCACTCAGGTGTAGGAGGGTTGCAGTGCTTGGGTGGACAAACCCCTTTAGTAGCCCAGACCCCAGGAGAAGCTTCTCAGCACTGATTGCCCGCGTTCTTCTTTTTCTTTTTTTCCCCCAGGAATGAACTCAACGACCACCTGGACACCATCGATTCCAACCTGGACAATCTGCAGACGATGCTGACCACCCACGGCTTCAGCG